TATATATATATACAAAAAGCAATACGTCCAGAAATAATAACATATAAAGTAAAGCAATCAGTAATTACCTACGTGTGAAGTTTAATAGCCTATATGTGTGAGAAATACCGTGTGGAACAAGCCCCGAACAACCCCGAAGAGAATATCAAAGCAGAACAGCCTCATGAATTCCTTGAATACAAGTAAGTTTTCAAGGCTCTCCCAAATCCCTTCGTGCGCACAAAAAGGTTTAAACATCAAGTTTAGCAAAGGAAGGTTATCCTATGAGTAAAGTTTTTATGTTAAATGTAATCTTAAACCAAGGTTCGGGTTCGATTGAAGCATTAACAAATTGTGAAAACAAGATGATTTAACCCACTGCCAGACTATCCCAATGTCGCGACCCATGTTTGGCCACTGCCACGACTCTACAAATGTGAACATGATTATTTACCAAATGCACAATGGTTGATACTTAAGATCTATGTCTTACCGTAGCAAATCACTCCTCCTGCAGTAGGGCATGCTGATGATGTGGAAATCAATGAACAATCGGCAAGATTCTCTTCAACTGTAGCGAACCGGAGATAGAGAAGGAAAACATATTATCTAACAATTGTATTAAGACTTGGTACCAATATTATTTATCACTTTTCTATAGTGCAGTTCAGTTTATTAAAAAAACACCAGACATAGCAATCATGACGAACAAACGTGATCCAAATTGGGACCCCCAAAAGCTATGCTTGTGATTGCTAATCAATTTATTGTATCATAAGTTTGGTACCAATGTTCAGACAATTTTGTGTCATGTTATTGACTTTTTTAACGGCAGGGTTGTTTTTTACACAAACACATCATACCTCCATCACACTCCAATCTGTGCGGTGCAAGAGAACTACTCGTCCCGAAAGGCCATCGAGTGATATAGTTAATGGCTCCAGGGTATCCGAGTTGACTGCACACAACCAATGCTTCTTGAGAACCGAGTCCGTCTCCACAAGACTCCCAACCATGAGCATCTGATCTTAAGTATTCTACACGTCCCTCGTTCGTGTTCTTTGGTGTCAGTCCATCTACCAACGTTACATCTTGAATGAGAGAAAGAGAGAGAGAGAGAGAGAAAGAGAGAAAGAGAGAGAGAGCGAGAGAGAGAGAGAGAAAGAAAGAGAAAGAAAGAGAAAGAAAGAGAAAGAAAGAGAAAGAAAGAGGGGGAGAGATTGACCAAAAACTAAGTCAAATGGCTTAACATTTTTGAAAATGTGTATAAAACCGATATAGAATGAACAAAGATAATGTGAGGCGAAGGATTGTTAATTTTTACGCCAGTGCCTCAAAATCGAAGCTCCGTTGATTTTATGAGGGACGTGGGCTTCTTTAATCTAACTGAGAGACATCAAAAAAGGGTAATATGCAAAAATTATAATGCAAGCATTCTTTATTTAATGCATAAATGCACTAATCAAATCTAATATGGCAATGGACGAACTAGTGATAAAACTGAACTGGGTGCAGAACATTATTTTTACAGACTTTATGGTAGACTGGATTTGACTCAGAGTAAAACTGAAATTAGGCGGATAATCTTTAGAGTACATGAACGGGGTAAGGACAAAACATGATGAGATATTAGTAGGAATAGTCAATGAAAATTTGTTGAATATATCAGAAGTGCATTATTATGTTTCTAATACTTCCCACCATACATAACTCTCTACCATTTGACGATTATTCGTACAGCATGTGTGAAATATTTCACCTGAAGGCTTCATGAATTGAACTATTAAATGTACCACAGTAATGTCATTGTAATGCAGTTTCCCATTACTTACTAATAATCGTGCTAGTACCAAGCGCTGGATCGCAGGCCGAGAGAATGTATGCTGACATTGCAAAAAAGCATTTCCACTCCATGTATCTTCTAATACTTTCAAACAGAAAACGTCTAGTATGGTCATTCAACAATTATTTCCACACTAACGACATCACAGCAATTATGAATACAGCGTTTGCAATTCGTTTCAAAGATCCCAACTTCCTCTATGTCCATACTGCCTACACCAACAATACAAAATTGTCCTTAATGTGTGTACTCCAACACACAATTGTTTTCGATTCAGGAGCGCCTAGAATCTAAACTTGCCAATAAACAGGTCAGAGTAGATTAATTCCCGTAGCCTACACCAAAGATCTCATAAGATGAATGAATTAATAAGAATTTCATCTTTCCAATAATGTGATTATTCTCTACAGTGGTTGTGCCACGCTCTAATGATCACAGGCAATGCAATCTGCAGCAGCAAACATTGCATTTGGCCTTCCTTAAAGTCTGATTGAGGAATATTATTTTACGAACTTCGTTCCAACTTCAGCAGTGTAGCATATACTTATATATCACTATCTAAGCACATCTGTTTACGCCATGCCAAAATAGATATTTCGACTGACATACCGCGTGCTGATTTGCTCCTTGAAACGCCCAAAAATAAGCGGTTTATTTGGGGAAAACCACAATCAAAGTGCCATAATATTACGAAACTATATTGGTTAACGTTAATATTAGATTTTGTGTGTATTCTGTATTTTAAAGATACACCTCTATCTTTAGTATATTTCAGAGCTCTTTAAAGGACCTCATATTTCAATTGCGTAGCTCCTTTTAAAATCATATGTTCTATTTTGCATTTATAAAATAGTTCCCATCATTGTCTTTCTAATGTGGAAAACAAGTAGAATTAAACCGAATTCAATATTAACCAATTATCCACTGGAACTCAGTTGTAGTACCCGTCAAACCTATGGGGGTACGAGAATTTTATAGCAAACGAAATAAATCATAGTGGAAAGTCTATTTGTTTCGAATAAAATATCATTCGTTTCCAAGAGGACAAGAATGTTATCATCAAATTAATGGCGTAGGTCTTGCGAGTGGGAGAGTGTCCCCTTCCTCCCTCTCTCTCTCTCACTCACTCCGTCTCTCTCTCTCTCTCTCTCTCTCTTTCTCTCTCTCTCTCTCTCTCACTCTCCTTTTCTCTCTCCCCCTTCCTCTCCCCCTGTCTCTCTACCTTTCTCTCTCACTCTGTCTTCCCCTTCTCTATTTCTTTCTTTCTCTCTTTCTCTCTTTCTCTCTTTCTCTCTCCCTATTACAATCGCACATTTTTCAACAAGGAGCTGTTTTTTGCAACCATCCCCTTCTCTTTTCTTATCTTCAGGGGTACACAAATATTCACTGAATATTCACTGATGCTACATTGCTATATTGTATTGTGTTGTTAACCACTACGTGCATTTATAGCTGTTTATCTGTTTGAGCCTTTAGATATTCATACATAAATATATCTATCAATAAAATGGGCGATCCCGTGCAATCCGTAAGACATGTAATATGTATGCATGTATTTCCTCCATGAATGGAAAATCTCTTGATATGCATATAGGTAGTGATACCAGAAAGCAACATTATTCAATGATCATATTGAAAGAGATTTATTTATTTATTTCTAATCTTTTGACAGGGTAGCCCATTCACCAATAAGTAGTGGTCTTCCATGGGGCCCTGAATAAACATGAACATATTTACATAATAAAGCATACCGTTTATACAGAACAGTTAAAAAATAATACTCGTTTGCAAAATAAACATTTACCATTAACCTAGTTCAACAGTAATGTCAATAGGAAAATATTGATTAAGTTGCTATTATGAGAATAAGTCATGTTAATATTACAGAACATGCACGTAGTGTATGTTCGGCTGAGCCATTCACAAATTACAACTTTTTAAAAAACAATCTCTTAAATGAATTGACAGAGGAAGCCGTTCTCATCGAATTATCTAGCTAATTCCATTCAAATATGGAAGAAACAATTGGGCTACACTTATAATAATAAGTGTGAAATTTAGGCACACGTAAACATCTACTGTCTACTTGCCTTGTATGATGTTCATGTACATCATTAGGATTAATTAAGCCTACCTGAAGGTAAGAAGGTGCTAAGTTATGAAAGCATTTATATATCATCATAACGCGACTTAACTCAAACCGTTTGTCTAGTGTCATACATTTAAGACTTGTGAACAAATCAGCCGACGGTGTGTCAAATGTCTTGTTCAATATTATTATTGCGGCCCTCTTTTGAATTTTGTGCAGCTTAGTTGTATGAGAAAGAAATCTGTTCGACCATACAACAGAGCAGTAATCTAACTGTGGCAACACTATACTGTTATAAAGTAACTTTAAGGATTGATTAGGCAAAAAATTCTTCATTTTTTGATGAAATCACGTGATAAGGGTATGTGCCGTACCGGACAAAGTGCACGAAATAGTCCTAATATATACTTTTAATGGTTGAAGCCACTCTTATAGTTTGTATTACATAATACGACAAATTGAAGGTTGTACCATATACGTTAATAAAGCTTATTTGGGAAGATAAACTATATATATGAACCGCTTTGGGGCGTTACAAAGTAATATTATGAACAAAATAATGTACGACAGAAGTATGCATATCATTTATATAGCTAAAATCTATCAGTTATGAATACAAATAAGAAATGGATGAATTTGCTGTCAAAGTAAATTCACAGTTATGTAATTCTGATTATTCAATTTGCTCCAACCTATGCGCCCGTTAATTCACATCAATACCAACTCTAATCTGAATAAATAAGATGCTTGTCAATCGCATAGACCTATATAGTCATAAGTCATATAGTCATAGAAATTCAAAATATTAACATAAAAAATAAAAGGTCATGTCAAATTTGCCAAGTGTCAGAACATTATTCATACCATATCCAGAGGTCTCTGTATATCCCAAAACGACTATCGACTACCTCATGGGACAAATATGCCCCCTCTTCCCCCGCCCTCCCGGACAACTGTGGTAGACATGCAGTTAACATTAAGGACTACACATCCATGACAATTATCCCAAATAATTACATGGACAACTATAACGCCTGGAACTGAGCGAAGTTTTCTTTCACATTTTTAAAGTCATTCAGTTTTAAAGTTTCAAGTAGGTCTGTAGGAGGTGTCATACAGATCATTTTCAACCATTCCTGTGTCACCACCAGTAGGTCCGTGGGAGGTTTTATACAGATCATTTTCAACCATCCCTGTGTCACCATCACTTTCGTCTTCGCCACCCATGCCATCCTTGTCAGTAGCGTACTCGTTTGGTGTCTCGCCTTCCTGAAGGTTATCCTCTCCACGACAGATATACAAGGCATTGTCAATACCTGCAGGTCTGCCCATGTCACTATCCAACACTTTCTTTGCTTTCGTCATGTTCCTAGACTTATCGGGCATGGTGTAGAGGCCGTTTATGTCTTCAGGTCCTAAAGCAGAAGGCGGCGCTTGAGGAATTGCTTGACTAATGGGTTCCTTGCGGAATTTCTGAGAAACCGCGTACTCAGGGATAGAGTCACGATGTCCATTACTCAGCTGGCTTTCGTCAGGTGTGGTGTACAGCTGATGTACGGGATGCATGGCGAATTGTGTGTCTTTGGTTGATTTCCTGGGCGCAGGCTGCGGGGGTCTGAGACTCCCTGAAGTGCTCTCCAGTCGTGGAACATCCTCATAGGTAGAACCGTTTCTCGCACTATTTACCGGATTCATGTCCGTCTCGGCTATAAAAGCGTAGTCACTTTCTTCCACACCTGTTCCTGTGGTGAGGTCATCGGCGGCCATATTGGTATGCCCATTTTCTAGAGAGTAGTTGTTTGGTGAGAACGGTAAAGGTGGAAAATTGCCCAGATCGGACCCATCAGGCATTGATCGCAGTTCCAAAATGTTGTGATCGCCTGAGGAGCCTTTGTCCTTTGATCGCCTTCATGACATTTGAAGAAGAAAAAGAAACAAAGAAGAAGTCTTTAGTTAAAGACTACTAATTTACTTAAACCCGCCACAAGATCGAAATCATGTTTAACAAAAAGGAAAATTCAGACCTCGGACTAAGGTCCTCTGTTCAAACCGATTATGAAGATTTAGATTTAAAAGAATTCCCTACCTATTTCAAACTGCCTTCACATATACATTCAATTTTGATTCCACCAAAACTACATTAACAAAATACGATTCATAACTAAAAGATATCGAATGTTTCAACGATTAGTTTTGTTTACAAAAGACATTAACGTTTCAACAATTAAATTAGAACAAGGAACTTCTACGAAGAAAACGAATATTGGTGTCCTTTCAGAAGAAATAAAAATGACATAATAATGGCGTTATATGTAATTATGGTCTTATCTATCCAGGGTAGCTTTTTCAGTACCGATAATGATCATTCCCGAGGGTTCTGAAATGAAATCTTTATTCCCAGCAATGCAAGGTAATCATTTCAAATACCTGAGTCGAGAGGTACAAAAATGTGGGTATAAAATAAGTAATCTAAGGTTGTAACCACCGAATAAAGATCGAACCCGGAACCTTTCGTTTTAAGAGTCATACACGATTGTAAAGACTTTCGAAAATCGACCAATGCCATCTCCATCTCCTACTGAAATATGCGAGTATTACAAACACGTATTGAACATGTATAATCCGAACATAATATCTTTTTATATATTAAATAGGTGAATGAAATTGCCCTTGAGGTGATTTTCTCAAAATTCCTTGCGGTCGTGTTGTAATAAGCTTTTTATCGTCATCATCAGGGCTGTCCTCAATAAGCAGTTCATAGTTGCAGTCTGAGCATGAGCAGATAAAGGTCATTCAGACTAAATTGTGAAATACACGGAGACAAAATACTAGATTCGTGCTCATGACAGTTATGTAATTAATATTTATTTATGCACAAGCATGATGTACTCCGTGATGCACAGGTGGAATTAATTCCTTGAAATGCTGGAGCGATGTAGCGGCAGCTGAGCCAAAGCCAGGGTAATAATCGTTGCGCCTCGTAATAGAATTTCTAGATAGACGGCGCTTACAATTGCCTATTATTATTTATTATCGTTATTATTCTTTAAAAAGGGGAAACAAAGGTTATTATGTAGCTCTCCATCGCTGTAGGAGTGATTATTTCAAATTGTACAAAGTGTGACCTTTTTATGTTTTGAAGATCTGTGAATATTCGGGGTCATTTTGGACAAGTGCTAACCGTGAACTGGTCTATTGACAGGTGGGTGGAAGGTTGGGAATGTGGCTTATTGTCTTGCCAAATGACGTTATTGCCTGGCTGGCATTCGAACCAGCAACCCATGGATTGAGAGCAAAGTCAATGAACCACGATACCACTACACGGTGCTACTCCAATATACCAAAATGTACCTACTGATCACTAAGTATATAATGTTCGTCACTTTCTTACCGTATTATGAAAACGACCAGGAGGATGATGACGATGAGAAGCAGGATACCACCACCGGCTCCAGCACCGATATATAAGCCTGGAAACATAGAATAAACAATTTAAACCACAAATATTCGTTTACACATAATTTTAGGGGTTTGCAGCTACAATTATGCATTCACATATCACGTGCCCCTTTTTCATCGTCCCCTGTAACATCTTAATCACATTAACAATTACGTGTTCTTTGAGTAAATGTAATTGATATATTGGTGGATGTCAAATATACGATGTAAAACTCATTATGCTTCACCCCGACATATTCAATCAATTCTCACAACAGTGATACGAAATATATACTACAACCAATAATGTTGTCTTCTTCATAATTCACCTATATTGCCTTGCACTCCCGTTTGCGTTGTTCTCGTGGTCATAGCTGGTGTCACGTCCGAGGTCATCACTGAGAAATTAAAAACAAAATGTATTTATATGTCTGCAGCCAAGAAGTAGATGAAAATATGTTTTCTAGTCACATTTCACATAGGCCTTTGAGAGAATTTAAAGCACTAATTTTTATAATATCATTATATCATCTCTACTGCTCATACTACCACTTCCACTCCCATTACTACTACTACTGCTACTACTACAACTACTACAACCACTACCACTACTACCCCACCACTACCACTACCGTTACTATACTACTACTGGGACTCGAACCACGAACCATGTGGTACACAGTCCGTTGCCGTACACACTAGACCACGACACCTCTACACGACACCCCGGGTATAAATTACCTGGACTAGTCAGGTCAGTTTGGACATTTCCCCCAGATAGCATTCATTCTGTCATTGTCGGAGCTGTTGTAAATATCACACGCAAGCGTCATAATACAAGAGAAAAGATCATAACGACTTTCAAATAATAAACTCGAGATCAATATCAATAGCATGTAGAATTGACTGTAGAAATTACGTTCGGATTAGGTAATATTTTATTGAAATTAAACATTCCAAAAAGTTATGAACAAGGCTATTCAAATTGAATTTAAGACAGTCTCTATGATCGTTTTAGAATATACACTTCCGAACCAAAGCCTTTCATGGATAAATCTTAGGTGGCAGTTACCCATAAATTTGACACTCTTGATGCTAAATCGTGTTTTTTTTTTTTCATGATTCTTGTTAACGTATGGGACAGCATTTGACCAAATAACTTGAACTTTCCCATCAAGTGATATTTCTTTACCAATCACCCCCAAAAAAAATTGTCTTCAAATTAATGTAATATCAAACATTTTTGCATCGTGTATGTTCATTTCTTTATAATCAATGGCCGGCATTCACAAAAGAATCTTAAACCTTAACCTTGGTCTTAACCACATGCAATTTACTTAGGCCAGCCAAGAAGGCCAAAAAGCCAAAATCCTTTAAAAGGCAATACAATTTGTTCTATAAAATAAAGGTAAACAAAAAAGTATTTGTTCTAATTTCTGGCTATATGTCGATTTCATTTTATCTACTATTTTTCCTTTTGGGGCTGCCAATAGGCAATGACGGTTTGAACCGTGGTTTGAACCTTATCATGTATGTTACCGTTAATGAATCGTAATGACTTACCTTCCGTCGTTGTGCGATCAGTTGAAGGCACTGATGCAGATGTTGGTCGTGTAGATGATGGTGATGATGATAGTGATGGTAGTGTTGCTGGTGGTGGTGTTGATGATGGTGATGGTGGTGTTGCTGGTGGTGGTGTTGATGATGCAGGGATGCTCACAGTGGTAGTAATATCACCTAGTATAACAACAAAATATGTTATGCTCACTTCTATCTTTTTAACAAGAAACATGATTGCAACTTCTATCGAAAAATCAATTCAAGGGCAATTTCAATATCCTGTTGAATATTATATATAAAGAACGTTCGTACTTTATAATACGTCAATGTTATGTATTTCTAAAGGTGATGGACAAGACTATTGATATTGCTTTAAGTTGGTTATTTGAGTGTAGTTGAGTACTTGGGCCATACTTGCATCTTGTTATTATTGCATGTATTTCCTATTTATCATGTTTGATTAGCATTAGGGTCTGTTTTCGTTCGTATCAGGTATATTATCAAGCAAAATACTGGATAAGAAATATTCACGGTCCGTGCAAATATCCACAAAATACATGTAATAGACAATAGCTTCAAAGGCTAGTATTCTCCGTTGACTAATAAATAGATAGTGTTTAGTGGTAAATATTCATGGGATTATTGCACAATCTTGAAAATAATGTAATAGTAATAGTGTATTATTAATAACAAAAAGAATGTACTAACAAATAGTAATGATATTATCATATAAACATAACCATGCCATATTTCATTTCTCTTCAGACTTATTTCCAAGTTACGCGACAGATTTGACTCAGAATAAGAAAGAAAGAAAGAAAATGACATGCAAAGCAGTGACAAGAAAGGAGGGGACAATGGTTTCACATGGATAAACCTAACTGAAAGAAAATATGAAAATTACTAATATTCATACTTGCCATAATATCATCAGCGGCATGAAGTTAATTGAATCAATATTAAAAGGTAGTATGTCCCATTTGTAGGCCAAACGAATGAAAAGGTTAAATTCCAATGGCATTTGAAAGATAATACTAATTTAGAATTTCCCTCAAAACAGAAACGCAGAAAAATTTCTTTTTGTGGGAAAATAATGACCGTTATTTGTTGTATCGAATTTAGCGAGCGCGCTCGTTTAATTAGATAGTCTGATTTTCATAACCTTGTACCGGAATGATCGTACGTTTTGTGCTGCGCATAGATTCAATCAGTTTAATTTTTGCCATTACAAGAAGTGGGTTATTGATGCGGACAAATGCCCATGTAACCTTTACAACTCATTTTACGTATGTTATTACCAAAGAAAAAAGGAAGTCAGTCACTCGCTCAATAGTGTCTGACTGTGAAGTCTAGAAAGTAAACGTGTTTCCTAGCATAATTTGAATACTATAGGACACTGCTAGCGTTTTAATTTCATAGATAGGACATATTATGCGACATATTCATAATTCTCGCAAAGTTCTAGAGAATGTCATGTTAGCTGCAAAATGGATACAATACCTTTAAATGAATGGTTGGTTTAATTGACAAGGAACTTATTAATGATCAGACTAACCTTCGGTTTGTGTTGGGGTTGGTTCTGCACATCCTGGAGGACTAGCAGTCCGTTTGGTATTGTGTAGATACAATGCGACTGTAATGATTAGATACGGGAAAGGGCAATTGCACGTAAATAACTTCTTTTTTTTTTTTTACAAATATGATATTTGATTTGAGAATTCTATGAGGTACAATATCATATTAAACATCATCTGTTCTTATTTGCCCGTATTATGTGCAAATTGCCCCAAAAGTCTCAAACTGTACTTTGATTTTTCCATCTGCAGTTTACATTTCAAGTGGAATTTGAAGTTTGAAGATAATTGAACTTTACGACGTCAAGTTTTTCCCCTCGTTCGATCTCTTTGGTATTGATACTGAAAATCATTTCACATCCTTCGTGGCATTTTCGAGTAATGTCTCTTTCAATTGAAATAAGTAATCTGATGAATGAAAAGAGCCCATCTGCTAAATATTAGATTAATTCTTTTTATATCACATGTACTTACTATTGAACATAGCAATGTGAGAATCTCCTCCACATCTTTCAATATTCCTTCCAGGACATGAAGAGGAGCAGTAGATATCACCTACTCTGTCAGCCTGACTGATGGTTGTTGATTGATTACCACATAAACATATATTTCCATTGTATAGCCCAGCATAAGCATTGCTGCCATGGCACAAGCTTACACACTGAGGTATTGTCAAGTCCTGAACTCCATTTTCACAGGGAGTTTGAAGCTCTCCAAGCGCTGACTGGGCTGATGCAGGGTAAGAATAGCATCCTATGTATCCACTCTCTATAGATAAATATTCAAACAAAATGATATCGTAAATACATCGATACTAGCCTATACAGCTACTAATACTTTTGTAAGCTTTCAATGACATGAGAGTGCACTGAAGTTATCTTCCCTTTTTTTATTTAGGAATTAATTTAGTATTAAAAGCAAAATGTACTGTGGTGAGCCTTTTCTCACTAGACACCTTCCAGAAACATCTAACAAAAAACATTTCTGCTAATGTTTTTCATTTATTTTACTTTCGTAATGTGGCAGAGTTAATTACTCTGTTTGATGGTTCTGTTTGTTATTAGTTCATTAACTTATTTTACATTAAATCTTTTGGAATGTCCCAAATATTATCATTGTCTTTGTTTCTGTGTATTTCTTTTCAGGATTTTGTTAATGTATAGTGACGTAATTTACATTATTATTGCATTTATGTGTAAAGTACTTAGTATGTAATAGAAAAGGCGCTATACAAATGAGTATATTAATACTATTATTATTATTATTATTATTATTATTATTACTACTACTCCTGCTACTAATACTACTACTTCTACTACTAATAGTATTTGAAGTCGTAGCAATAGTATCATCATAATTTTTTAATTATTATTATGTGATTTTCCGAACATGTATTGTTGTTCATTTCTACAATATTTTATCTAAAAATGAGGGTTCTAGGACAACTACCCCCTGGGCAATCACCCCCCGGAAAATTACCCCCCGGAAAACTACCCCCAAAGGACAATTACCCCCTGGAATATTACCCCCCGGAGAATAACCCCCCGAGGACAACTACCCCCCAAGGACAATTACCCCCCGGAAAATGACCCCCCGGAGAATTACCCCCCGAGGACAATTACCCCCCGAGGACAATTACCCCCCGGAAAATTACCCCCCAGAGAATCACCCCCCGAGGACAATTACCCCCCGAGGACAATTACCCCCCGAGGACAACTACCCCCTCGAGGACAATTACCCCCTAGGACAATTACCCCCGAGGACAATTACCCCCTAGGACAATTACCCCCAAGGACAATTACCCCCGAGGACAACTACCCCCGATGATAATTACCCCCCGAGGACAATTACCCCCCGATGACAACTACCCCCGTGGAAAATCAGGATTCAATAGCAAAAGACGATCTGACACATGAGAGATGGCTACGAGCCCATAAGATGCCCTGCATGACCCCATATTTTTTCAAATACTATAGCACGTTGTCTTTCTCATTACTACACATTTCCCTTTTATTATAATTTATGCAACGCCAGCGCGGTTGCTAATTTCCACGAAGGATGTAAGTTTTAGGTAATTGTCCAGCGCTTTTCAAAATGCATAGAAATACATTTCTCTGGAGCAGCGTTATTTTAACTTTTTGTTAGTCACGGTACCCTCTTAAGAAATTAAAAGTTTCTCCCAAATCCCAAAGTCTTTACAGACTATTAATTTTTCATGACTCTGGCTCTCGTCATGTTTTATGCACACACGTATGGGCACATTTAAGAATAAAAAGACATTTTCAAACTGATAAAAAAATAGTTTGTAATCCACACACTAGAAACTATTTAAAGTACTGTATGCGGGCACCTTGCCGCCGAATGTACATAAATAAAAAGTGATATATTCGGTCATGATCTTGATACACTAATATGAAGATATTCGGGCCTCTCGTTGCCCTTATTTGCCGAGGAAGGAAGACACTTTAGTATCTTCCAAATTTTATTTTCTCTTGTAATTACATATTTTAACCGTTTCTGGTATTTGATTTTTTTTTACAAAATCAACGTTTTCCAAATCATTCTCTTGCGGCACCCCGGTTGAAAAACGCTGTGCTGGAGTTACAAAATCAAATGAGATGAATTACCAGAGAGCGGATATTTATTTTAACGTACACGAAAACATATTATACTTCAACAGAAATAAATAAATAACGTGAAGAAAACCTTAATCATGGATCACGGCATGGATGAGGGCCCATTATACATACAAAGACAAATACACGATCAGCTGATTAAAAAGTTACAGAAGATGCATAAAGGAAATCTTACATCCTAATTTCTTTGTTGTGCCATTGATGGTGAGAGAGGCAATGTATTGTTTAATTTCTAAGAAATGTAATTTTTGTTCTTTACTCGGCAGCAAAACTACAGCGGAATTGGGCAACCTCCGGCCCCCCCCCCCCCCAAATATCTCATTGAATAATTTGAAAAGACTGAAATGAAGGTTTATGCAATTTTCTGTAAATAGCAATTTGGAGAGAAGCTTGCGTTATACGTCACAGTCTTATACATTCCTCGGGAATGATTGTCATTGGGGGTAGTTGTCCTCCAGGGGTTATTGTCCTCGGGGGGGGGGAGTTGTCGTCGAAGGGGGAGGGGTAGTTGTCCTCGGGGGTAGTTGTCCTCGAGGGTAATAACAATAATAATAATAATAAATAATAACGTTTTATTTACCCAGGGTAGCTACTTCAGTTATGAAACTGCTCTTCCAGCGGGCCCTGCATAACATAACATAATTATTACTACCCTTTTCCAATCTAATATGCTGAGCGCCTAGCTAGAAGGCAGAAGGTCCTATTGTTATAAGTCTTTGGTATGACTCGGCCGGGGTTCGAACCCACGACTTTCCGTACATGAGACGGGCGCTCTAACCACTGAGCCACCAGGCCCAGTAGTGTCCATGGGGGGTAATTGTCCTCGGGGGGTAGTTGTCCTCGGGGGGTAATTGTCTTCGGGGGTAATTGTCCTCGGGGGGTAATTGTCCTCGGGGGTAGTTGTCCTCGGGGGTAATTCTCCGGGGGGTAATTTTCCGGGGGGTAATTGTCCTTGGGGGGTAATTGTCCTCGGGGGGTAATTCTCCGGGGGGTAATTGTCCTTGGGGGGTAATTGTCCTCGGGGGGTAATTCTCCGGGGGGTAATTTTCCGGGGGGTAATTGTCCTTGGGGGGTAATTGTCCTCGGGGGGTAATTCTCCGGGGGGTAATTTTCCGGGGGGTAATCGTCCTACGGGGGTAGTTTTCCGGGGGGTAATTTTCCGGGGGGTGATTGCCCAGGGGGTAATTGTCCTGATACGAAAAATGAGATCAGTAGAATACGATATGTTTGGAAATGACTAGCATTAGGCTTGCCCAACATTGCAGAATAAACTTATAATCAAAGTAATGAATGTTGTCGTGTATCAACTTAGAAAGCGCATTCAGAAACACAGATATGTTTGTACAAGATCGATTACACAATTTACCTTCTCACTCTCTCACTAAATATCAATAAAAACAGACAAATGGAAGAAATAGGAAGGGAGAGATGAGTGACCGAACAAAAAACATATTTCTTATAAATGTAAACCTGCCGCTTGGGGGTAAAGATTGTCTTCAAAATCTTGTTTAACGAACAAAATTAGTCAGTTATCAGTAATTAAGTTGTCCTGGTAAACATGATCTTAGACCCATGGTCGTGTGCAACTTTATCCGTAGAAAATGATGACAAGAATATGATATACATATTATCCCTTTGCCAGACTTTTCCCAATGTCTAGTCGACCCACTTTAGGTCACTTTCATAGCGGTTAAATCCATACGCGACTATTCACGAGATGATGAATAACTAAAACTATGTCTTACCGTAACAAATCACTCCTCCACTGGTAAAGCATGGTGATGATAGGACACCCAGTGAACAATTGGCAAGATATTCTTCTTCTGTAATTATCAACGATAGAGAAGAAGAAATGTCATAATATATACCTTATGACAAACTTGGTACAAATATAGTTTACCAATTCTTCGCGAATCTGTTCATTTTCATATCATTGCATAGAAAGGATAGGAGTTTAAACCATACAAATTCGCTTACCTCCCATACAATTCAATATGTTGTTTGCAGTTTTATCACCGGCTCCGAAAGGCCACTGAGCTAAAACTTCATTGACTCCCGGGTATCCGAACTGCCTGCAGATAACCGATGCTTCTGTAGAACCGAGCCCATCTCCACAAGCTGGCTCCCGAGACAAATGTTCTGATCTGAAGTAGTATTCTACTCGGCCCTCGTTTGGTGTCTCTCCGTCCACTAGTGTTACATCTATTAGATCGTGATTAAAAAATAGCAAGAAAACTTCAGGCGCTTGTCTCATATTTGGAGCTCACATGTTCTACCTATAGGGGTGGGCCTTTCTTACAAATTTGCGACAGAGATGACTAATCAACACATCCCCCCGCATTTATAATAATAATAATATTGATAATTATAATAGTAATATCGAGTATTTAGGCTACCTAAAAAGATAACAAATTACGTTACCTAACCTTACAAGACTACAGAATGTCAATATAAATATATATAGACTCATAAAATAGGTAAATCACATTATGCCACTATTAAAGCGGAAAAGTATAGTGTACAACTTAGGTAGCCTAACATAGTCTTGAAGAGCCTGCATATTATTTTCCTGGAAGTGATGCCATATTTCTCTTCATGTAGACTTAACATTGATGAGATGTGATTCAGCTGCATTCATTTTAAAATCAATTAAAAGTTTTCAGTTTCAGATATTAAGTTCTATATGTCCATTGAAAAAAATACTCCATAATGTCTCTCATGAAATCAATCCTTTACCTCTGATCATGTAAACATCGTAAGTCATGCAGCGTGAAGGAAATGTTTTGTTTTCAATGATACGTGAATAGTGGATTTATCAATACGATGATATGGGTGCATTGTATGACACCATCAAATATACTTTACTTCACTTCCGATAACTGGGCTCAACCAAGCTACCGTGATAAGGCTCTCAAGCAGTAACAACGGAGTTTCATTAAAGCTTAGCACTTCTTGGAGGAAAGTGGCAAATAAAGATTGATTCGAACCTAATATAGTAGCAGCAGTAATATGTTAACATTATATAACTTAACAACATATCCCTAATGGTGTAAGAAAATGAAAGGGTTTCATAATTTGTTGACCACTAGCTTTAAATGTCACAATGATGTTTGATCTATTGTGAAGTTTGTTCCCTTCGAAATCTCGGTCCTTCTCGGCCGATTCTGTAAATCCTAATTTGCTCCGTATATTATAGAACTTTTTATAATGTTGTCTACACGTAGTTTGATTTAACCATCAGTAAGTTTAATTACAATCATCTTATAATTATTTAATGACGTATTTGGTTCCTTACTGTTTCATACCTGAATATTTTGTTTTATAATCAGGTGCAGAGAGAAAGTATCTGCAGTGGCTATGCCCGGATCCTTTTATTAGACAACATTTTCATGACCATATGTATGATAGCCCAAATGGATATTAGACTATTAAACTATAACATGTGGACAAAATCTATATTAGACTAGATTTGATGAAGACGGAAATATGATAAGATAAATTGGAAATTAGAGAAAATACCATTTGAACAAATGTAAATTTCTTATTCATATTAGTTTCAGTTTCAGTTTCAGTTTCAGTTTCAGTTTATTTTCATATTTCACATGTTGTTCAATACATCATTACATTTATACAAACGAAAAGAATAATACATAAGACTAAGTTTAATAAAGGAAGAAATATGATGGACCCTATAGAGAAAGCAATGCTTGTAGGTCATAGGCTCCGGAAGTTATAACAATGATATAGTCTTATGTTTATTAAATAACGTAATTGCAGGACAGGGCAGTTATTAGACATAACAAAATATGCTTCGATATTCACTTGCAAATTGAAGATATGAATACTCATAGACATAGCAAACATGGAAATTCATACGTTATGGTTCCTCAGAATTGTTTGTCATAATCGTTATCTGTCCGAGGAGCAGAATGATTGACAGCATTTAATTAGCTTGATGAACTGGTATGTTTTTTTTTAATTTTTGCTTGTGCTTATCTATATATATACAGGATTCCATGAAACCTAAGTGACTGACAATCAAACATTAACAGTAGCCCTGTACCATAGGTTGTAACGGAAAATTATTGTCAAACAGGTTGATCTTATACGGTTTCACGATTTTACAGTTTTCTATTGTACAGACAGACAGACAGAATTCGAATGGATAAAAATTGATCAACTAATTAATAATCATATAAAGATCCACCAAGTTTGGCCTCTAACTGCTAAAAAACTTGGTGGCCCACAAGATTACAATCATTTCGGGCTCTGTTTTGTTACACTGTAAATCAGAGAAATTATCGTGATTTTTACTGTACTTTATGGTCACTTACTTATAATTGTAGGAGCACCCAACACATGATCACAGGCCGTCAGAAAATATAATGAAATCGCGAAAAAGCATTTCAACCCCATGGTTCCTCCTATACAGTCAAAAAGGAAAAGCTTTGACTAGTCAAAGAACGACTTTCGTGTTACAACTACGAATGCAAAGCTTTTCAAAGATCATAACTTTTGCAAAACCGCATACTCCAAACATACTGCGTACCAATACTCCAAACATTATAACTTATCCTTAATGTGTACTCCAAACATACAGCGCCCGGTCTAAACTTGCCGATAGATTAATTCCTGTAGCATACAACATAGAACCCATAAAATGAATGAACACATATTTCATCTTTTCAACAATATGATTATTTTCTACAGTGGTTGTGCCACGCTCTAATGATCCCAGTCAATGCAATCTGCAGCAACAAACATTGCATTACGCCTTCCTTAAAGTCTGATTGAGTAATATTATTTTACGAACTTCGTTCCAACTACAGCAGTGTAGCATATAAATATAAAAAATAAATTATAGAGGAAATTCTACTTAGTCTCTATACATGGGAGGAGATCAATTCGAAATTTGTTTCGAATAAAATATCAATCGTTTCCAATAGGATAATAATTTTATCATCAAATTAGTGGCGTAGATCTTGGGGGTGGGAGAGTGTCCCCTCCTCCTCTCATTCTCTCTCTATCTCCCTCTCTCTCTCTCTCTCTCTCTCTCTCACTCCGTTTCTCTCTCTCTCTCTCTCTCTCTTCTCTCTTTCTCTGTCTCTGTCTCTCTCTCTATCTCTCTCCCCCTCTCTATTTCTTTCTTTCTATCCCATTCTCTTTTCTTTTCTTCAGGGGCACACAAATATTCACTGAATATTTACTGATGCTATACCATCATAATGCATTTGTAATTGTTGCTATGTCATAATTAACATTATTATATTTCTTTTCATTAGTTATTTCACAGCTATGTAGCTCAATCTGATTTGTAATTTAAACATATTAATGAACAAAATTAACATAAACGTATTCATCTGAGCGAGACTCATGAATTTGGGGAATAAATCAAATTATCGTCAAATGACGAAGAAATATAATATTTAGAAGAGAATTCATTCATAATTGAAAGCATCTTTATTAAAGACTAACTCCGTCCCATGCTTTAGTAAGCAAGTACAAATATGAATAAGTGAGAATTTGAACGGCCGCATAATAACCTCCCAATTTCAATAGATATACATGCATTTCGAAATCAAAAGGTAAGATTACAAAAGGGGATTTTGAAATACGCTTCCCGAAAAACTCGTCTTGGCATTGAAAGGTTAACAACAATGCAACACTGTGTATTTATGAAAACCAGTCGCGTATTGATCAATGCTACTAGAATGAGGAAGTGTATTTACATGAAAAATACATAAACGATAACATAATCGTAGTAGCAATTGCCGTACATTCTATGTTATGTTCATGAAGTGTGGATCTGAAGAACAGACTTTTAAACCCAACGCATGTTCTACATAACTTACATAAACATAATTATTAACCATTTTGAAGGCACACAACATATAATATTATGAGATATACATGATCTACGACCAATATTTTGCCTATTATCATTATATGCTGAAAAGATTTTACAGAACGTTCATATTCCTTTCCATCTTTAATCAGTCGCAGCATTTGCTCACAGTATTATTTGTGGTATATTACGAGTACAACCGTTCCTCGGATCAAAGATTTGATGGTAATTATATGTGGTGATGTATATAAATGATACATATTGACAAGAAAATGTAGCATGTCTTTAAAATGACTCGGTAACATTGCCTCAGATTCTGAAACAAATTCCTGGATTTACCTCATCCTGCAATCATAATTATAAACCTTTAGGTCAGTCAGGAATCCAATGAATTTTACAAGCAGATCGCTTGTCTGATTATCAAGATATTTATGATTGGAAATCGAAATTTCTTTTTTCGTTTTCCTAACGGTTTCTATAATACTACATTCTATTGGGAGAAATGAGTATGGTAAAACCGGTCACTCAAAGATCTTTACTCTTTTGAGGCACTTCATGATCATTTTGAAGCGCAATTTTTTTTTAGGGCTTCAATATTTCACCATATCACAGACACTGATAACACGTAGGGCCATGCATCTCAGATTTAACATTGTTAAACGATGCCTTTAAGCTCCCGGCATAACATAATCCGCATTCACAGTATATGAACATTATGTGCCATACTCGTATGAAGCCTGTCTGCAAGGACAATTATAACCTAAAATTTGCCCCGGACACCAAACGTAGGACAATTTACCTCCGACAACTACCCCGCTCCTTAAAAAAAATGACAAATACTCCATAACCCCCACCCCCCCCCCCCCCCGCACACACACATACACGCATATACAAATACACAACGCTAATACATGTAGGAAAATGTTTAGAATGATAAATTATGTACCATATTTCATACGATGACATCTATTTATTAACTAGTTAAAGTTCCTGCGGCATGGTAAACATTTTTGTATCCAAAATTCACTTGAAAACAATATTACTTTTAAAGCAGTACTAGACCAGTATCTTCTACTGCAATAAGCTATATTCTTTATAACTTTTCTAAATTCTAGTTGTAAAAGAAATGCGTTTTTCCAGTTACTTGTACCTATGGTTAATATCATATAATTCAGATATTATGTAAGATATTTTGTATTGCTTTCGAAACAGAATAATCGACTCAATCTATTGATGTTGTTCTCTGTAAATGAAAATCAAGAGACGGAAATGGTTACAAGCAAATTGTTGTTTTTTAAGCTTTCATTTGTCTTAATTTAGGAAAGAACATCCTCATAATCAGCACCCTTCTTTATTTTGTTTGCATACTGCGCAACATTCTGGTTCTCATAATCCAGGTTTGATGATGGTGGACGACTTTCTCCTGTTTTTTTGGACGAAGCCGTTGAGGTGATAGCCATCTCCTGGTATGTCCTGTCTGCCTCAGGTCTGGGTTGTAGGTCCATGTAAGGATCTGGTCCGTTCTCTCTAGTCCTGGTTGGCACTTTGCGCCTGTTACAGAAAAAATATCACATGAATAAATCTATATTTATCCACATTCAGCAAAAGTCATTGTAGTTTCAGTACTCGGCAGTGTGGGCGTCTTTAAAATAGCGCCCGTCTAGAATGCTACCTTATGTCCGGGTAACCCTAAATTCTAATACCGAGGTAAAATGATATCTGTCAAGCCCTGAGAAACATGTATCAAGCGCTAAAAAAGAGGTGTCGTGGACGAGTGGATATGTCACAATGGATATGACTGTGAATCACAAGGTCCGCGGTTCAAGTCCCACCGCGGCACTAAGGTCATTGGTAAAGTGACTCTCACACTCTGCCGTGTAGGCCTACCGTGTGCCACCGTGCGCGAAAATGTCTGCTGA